GGCCGAGCAGAGTGCGGTGTTCGGACTTCCGTCACACTTTTCCCCAGAATATGGGGAATATCAATCAAAAGAAGGGAAAACAATTTCATAATTCACCCGCAGCTCGATCAATTATCAAAAAAGAATTAAAGAAATTATTACTCAAATTTTGATGTACTTCACAGCATCAAATACTGCGCTCTGATTGGCCAGAATCCGATGGCCAAAAATTATCATTGATATCGTCACTAGTTTTCAGTGACATCATCCCCAATTTACAGAGTAATATCACCGATTTTCAGGTTCCCATCTCTAATTTTTGGTAATTTCTAACAAAATTTCAATGATAAAAATCACAAATATTCAGGCTTATTCTAGTCAGTGTCCAGTATCACCACTCATTGACAATAGATTCCTGAAAATCAGTGACATTTGTTGGAAAATCAGTTACATATCTCAAACAAAACCTTTTTTTTCTGTGTTATTTTAGTTACTGTGCAGTATCACCAATAATTGCTGATAGATTCTTAAAAATCGGTGATATTTTCTTGAAAGTCAAGAAATTGTTTTCTCTGTGAGGATAAAACTACCAGGAATAGAAGAAGCGGCGGAATTCACGTGAGCTCAGAAATTCTCGTCTTCCAGCTGCTTAAAAATTCGAAACATCATTAAATTTACAGTTAAATTCAATTAATGCCGCCCTTTTAGAAATTACCACTATCCATGAAATTTAATATTTTTTCCAACATTGAACAATTTAAGTGTGGACCTGCGGTACACATCATGATTTCCTCCCCACCTCATCATTTTCTATCCACTTACTCTCGCTCTCTTGAATGCGCGGCAAAGCGTATACTGCAAACGCTCGAGGCGTCAAGGTCTCAATGCCTCGGGCGATTCAGTGCCTTGATCAAACAGGAGCCCTGAATAGATCGCCTCGGAGCGATTCTCCTCGAAACTACCCGATCACGTACACATGCTAGTACCAGTGACTCGCCAAAACCCAAGAACACTGAGTACCTATCGCTTTAACCAAGGCAAAAGCCAACTCCTATACAGATATATGTGTATGAAGCCAACCAACACAGTCGGGAGGATCACGATTCATCGATTATTATTTAACGAGCAAAGCCCGCAGGACTATTGCCCGTAGGGGGGCTAGTTGTACGGCTCGCCAATTGCTCTTCCACTCCTTTACCACTTAACTCTAAACCAACTTGCGTTCGTTATCTAAGACCTTCAATGCTCTTCACCAGTTCTCCCTCTCCACTCGTATGATACTCCAAAATGCTTCTACCCTCTCTCTTCATCTCGCTTCTCGCTACCACTTTTCGCTCTCTCACTTTTTCTTTCTTTATTGGCAATTTGTGGGAGTCTAAACGCCAAAGTTTCAGCGTTCGATGGAGGGTGAAACTCAGCCACGAAGCCCACATAAAGTCCTTGCGGGTTAAAGTGAATGTTTTCGGGTAAGTAAAGAGTGCGTGAACAGTCTGGTGCGCTCTAAGCAACTTTCGTAATTTTTATATGGATTTTTTTAGGCTTTGATTACGAGTGGGTGCATTGTTAATGATCGATTTTGCGGATCGTTGATTGCGGTGATGACTTGGAAGATCTTGAAATGTGACAATATATTTTTGGGGGCTGTTCTGAGTATGCATGGCAACAATAAAGTCTATGATTCAATAAATAATATCTGCTGTGAAATATCCAAGTACTTCAATTTTTTTATTGTTGAATGTTTTCCAATGTTTGTAGTAGAAAATCGGAGCTCCTATTGGAACTCCATATTGCGCTACATTGTCAGATATTCTGCAACGATTCTAGTATTTCTAGATTTTCTGATCTGAATCTAATTATCAATTTCAAATTGCTGGAGCAATTTTCTACTCTCGGAATGTTTGGTAATTTTTATTTGAACTTTCATCGCCGTGTATAAAATGTAGAGTTCAATGAGCGCTACCATTTGTTGCCAATTAAATTTACGTCAGTAGTGTAGTTTCGGAGATTGCAACGTTTTTGGCCGTACTCAGAAAAATGATTTATTTAAATCAAATAAATATGTTTATTTAAATAATACCAAATAAGGTTTGTTCGTCAAATTAAACAAAAATTTTCATTCGATATTTGGTTTATATTAAATAAATGTTTTCATACTAGTAATAAATCTATATTTGATCCAAATAATTTTTTTCTTTGAGCTTAATAAATATTCATTTGATACTAATAAATTATCACTTTGAGATGGGACAAACTGGAAAAAGATTGAACGAAAAACATGTAATAATTATCAGCGGCTGTGCATATATGACGTAAGACTTTCAGGCGGAGAGGAAGGGGCGTTATTTCTGTTCCACGGTTTCACTATTAGAAACCACTAAACAAGTTTATTTATTTGTAACAAACATTTTTTTTTAAATAAGTACAAAAATTCAAATAAAGATTTTCATTTGATTCAAAAAAAACATTTTTATGGGTGCAGATTTAAACTTGATTTGGCTATGATTACTAAAAAAATGAGTGCCGGTCGCTCATTTCGCTCGTTTCCGGGTTGGAGTGTGACTGTTAGAGGTGGGTTGGAGTGGATGTGACCCATTAGGGATGGAACCAACAACTTCCTGATTAATTTCCTTTTCTCGCTCATTTAGCAGAAAAAAATTTCACCAGATGGTGTTAACCATCTCTCACCAATGGGAATAGAAACGTTTGAAATTACATTGGAAATTAAATGGAAAACCACTGCATAAATTTTACTCAAAATTTAATCGGAGCTAAAGAACGCTTATATATTTCAATGGTGTCATCGATGACTTCGATCGCAACATTCGCTCGTGAATAATCGTTGATTAACACTTTTCGCGATCTTTTTTCTTGTTTTTCTGAAAAAAACTGGAAATCGCTGGATCGATTCCATCCTAAATCTAATCAGGTTTAAGTTTCATGAAGACGCATCGATTAAAGAAAACATCGAATTGGCCTATTCGTTTGCCAGAAATCGTTGACGAAAAAATGTCTGCACGTACATATACACACACACGTACAGATATTTTTTCGAAAATGAGATAGTTTTTTAAAATTTGACTCCTACACAGCTTATGTCGTTTTTTTAATATAAAAAATTGCACCATTCATGTAAAATGGACAGAAAAATATTTCTGAAAGAACGAAGAATATATTTTTAATATTTTAAGGATGATTTTTCTGGTTATTTTACATGAATGGTGTATTTCTTTTAATTAAAAAAAACGATAGTAGCTGTGTAGGAGTCAAATTTCCAAAAACTAACTCGCATAATTGCTATTGTACACTTTTTTTCAAAAATTTTGAGAAAAACCTCTGAAGCTCAAAAATTGGAGGCTGTGGGCTATTTTTAACGCTTTAGACGTTTTCGGGGTAAACGAACAATAAACAATTAATTTTTTTGTGCTAATTATTCGTTTTTACACACATATAATCGATCTTCAATGCATGATAAATCTCACTCCAATAGTCCGCGAATTTAAAAATTCACAGTAGTCTCCTCTTAAAAACCGTTTAAATTGAGACAATTATGGTTTAAAATATTCGTTTCAATGTTATTTTGACCGAGTACAAAAATGGCGATGATTGCATCATTCGTTCTCGAGTTAACCCGAGTAAGAAGCATCAAATGAGCCAAGGTTGGGCCAACCTTGGCCCATGATGGCGCAACCTTAGCATGAGCATCAGCCCAACCTCAGAAGCCAGCGTTGATTTGCGATTGAAAGCCAGTATTGGCCCAACAGTTGCAGTTCCGGTTAACCCAACCGGAGAAGCCATCGTTGATGTAACATGGGCAGCCTGACACGCAAGAAACAATTAAATAGAAAAACCTAGCGAATTCGCTAGACAATTTTATTGGATTACTATTGGAATTTCTATTAGTTTATGGCCGTTTCTAAGTGTACGCGCTCTTTCGCGTTTCTCTTTGCTTCACGCTTTATTAATTGCGCTGCTCTCTCATTAACTTGCCATTCGCATCGGTTTTTGTTTATTTGAGCTGCGCTAACACACTGGACATATCATTGTTAAACAAAACCAGTGTAAATAAGCGACACTTTTATAAATCTAGTGACTATAGTTGACCGACGTCTAGTGTCGTGATTTCTTGCCCATGCTCTACATTCCCGGAATCCATTGTTTTGTAGCCCATCTCCCAACATTCCACCAAAACCAGATTCGGCATGGAACATTCAAATGTTCAATAAAAAATATTCCATAGAAAAAGTCAATAGAATTCGATTTTTTATACAAGTTATTCTATTGAGATACTTTCTACAAAAATTTCTCGGCTCAAATTTTCCAAGTTTTGCTCATTTTATTTTTTTTTCTTTTCATCACGAAAATTAAACAAAAAACTTGGAAAATTTGCACCAAGTAAATTCTATAGAAAATATCGTAATAGAATAAGTTGTAACCAATGAAAAAAAAAAAATAAGTTGTACAGAAAAATCGAATTCTATTGATTTTTCCTATAAACTTCAACATTTTAACAGAATCGGCCAAAAACTAATTAGAAAGTTCAGTAGAAATGCAACAGAATTGTCTGGCGAATTTGCTAGGTTTTTCTATTAAATTTCTTCATGCGTCAAGTAAGAACTGTCAACCGAGCCAAGGTTGAGACACGAGTATCACAACTAAGGCCTAAAAAGGGCTAAAAGGGTTAAAAGTCCCCGGGGATCCTAATCTAAGTGGAAATATATCCATTCTGAAACTAATTCTTGAATCATCAGCACAAATGACAACACCAAGTTATAAAAAAAGCAATTGCTCACTTGCTTTAACCAAAACTACAGGTCTTTCTTGAAAAGTTCTGGAGTAATTTTTAACATATTTTTCACTCAGTGAAATGAAAATCTCAACTTTCAGCCGCTACATTTCTTTTATCGCTCAAATATTTATAACTGTCTACATACACTAATTCAGTTTAATGGAGATTGTTTAAGAGTGGATAGGCAGTGCTGAGATGAGGTAGAAGGTGGTAAAGAGCATAAATAACGAATTACCTCATCTTGAAAGAGCTTCCTGAAAGCCTCCCGTCCGTACCTAGACGATCCCTCAAGTTTGAGCAAATCCGAGCACTCCTTCAGTATGGTACTCCTGCGTTTCTCTATAAGACACTCCTCCTCCATTGAGCTCATGCACTCGGGTCGAATGGTGTAATTTGCCATCGTAAATAGAACGGAAAAAGAAAAACCCAAGCTCCTCAAGTTAAAATTATCTATCTCTCCTCTTTCTGTTTTTCTTTATTTCCCAGCTGAGGGTAATATATAAACACAGCAACTTGGGTTAAAAGTTGGGGGAGAATACTCTCTTTTTACGAGTTGTATCATTCAATTATACTCAAATTATCAATGAAAACTTGATGACATTAATGAGAATATTGATGGCAAAAAACGGAAAACGAAGGAAATGAGGAGTTTAGAAATTCAAGGTATCCAAACTGGGCAATTCGAGACGTCAGCAAACACACTCGACGAAAATGCCAACGAATCAAGCGTGAGGGACGAATAGGAGTTGGTAAACAGGGGAATGTAGGGGGGGGGGCGAAAGGCCCGGAAGAAAAAGGTAGATGGGGAAAAAAGGCGAAGAATCGAAAAGAAATCACTTTGAAGTTTTTCGTTATTTTTTTTATGTCCTTTTCACTTGAAAAGGTACATTTCACACTGAAAAAAAAGACGGCACCCTCGTTTCTCGCCTTGGGGAAGGAACTGACTTGTTTTATTTCCTCTGTTTTTACCTACTCCACACGGAGGCATGGGAATCCCGTGGAAACCCCTTTGAAAATGTGTTTCACTCAGTCACTAACATACGAACAATATATATTCCGTTTCCAATGTTGTAACACTGTCAAAACAAACCAAGTCACTCGATTCATCAAAGTGAATACACATGCACTGGGATTATTTGCCTTTGTCGTACACGCGTTTGGTTTCAAACTGGAATTTTTTTTATCGAAATGGTTGATATTTCTCCTCGCACATGTGTGAAACGAAATCTGCACAGTGTAGTGAAGGACAATTTCACGGACGTAATCGGTTACATTTGAAGATATCTTCGGTTGGGCTGCTCCTCGCAACGTGATTGGGGGGCAGCTGATGATGACTCGGTGGAGTTGTACAAGGTGGATTGGAATGAGATGAAGACAGAGGGACCGATAGTCGCGTGGGGGGATTAAGTTTTTTCAGAGGAAGGGAACCTTTCACTTTTTGACAGGCACCAACAGGTCTCGGTGTGTGATCATCTTATGGCGCGTGTGGCGAGTTTCAGCTACCCATGTTTAGCGAGTTGAGAGGTTTATTGGGAGCACTGGGGATCAATTAGGTTGATCTTGATAGAGTTATTGCATGTTTGGTTTGGTTGGATTGTTTCAGAGTTTTCTGGGATGGGTGTGAATAACAAAGTGTGGGAAATGGATATGTAGAATTATAATCATGAGGACACAGAATATTTATTTTAATTGAATAAATGAACGTATATTTGAGGTACAATCGAATTAAGGATGTTCAACCTGTCAAGTGGACAACTCAGTTGAAAAGAAAAAGAAAATTGACTATATAACTCATTCATGTTAGAAATTATTTTTCTAATCAAATTAGAAGTGTTATGGCGTACTTTTCCGGTCTCAAAAACAATAATTAAAGAAAATGTTCATAAATAATGGAGGACTTGTGACTACAGTGGTAACAGTGGAATTTTGATCAGGCAACATCGCACATTTCGGCTAGTAGTGGGGTTGTAACAGTGAGATGAATGTGTGTGTGTGTTATACATGTGCATATGCTTCCAGCACTAAATGATCGTCACCGACTTTAGCGACCTCGATCAGCTGTTGTGCGCTGTTGTCGCGTTGGTCGACTCGTAATGGTGATCGTAATGGTACAAGAAGTGATTTTCAGGCATTAATGTCTCATTAGTATGCCCCGATGTAAGAATTAAGATTATTATTAACGTGTAGCTCAAATAGGAACCTGACATATGACACAGTATCAAAATCATGGTGAATAATGTTGGTTTTGGCTAAATATCCTTAATAGAAATACATCGTTATAGTAGCGAAGTTGTTCTATATCTTCACGTGGCATCCATCCGATCACATCTGACTCACTCTTCATCCTTTCATTCGGGCAAATATTCTTTCTTTTATCTATTTCAAAAATACTCTCTCTCTCTCTCTCACTTGCACTCATTCTCAACCAATACACCCTTTGTTCCAAAAAGTGATTCAATATTCATTACACAGGCCACCCTCATTCATCGGAGTAGAAATTTCGATCAGGTCCAGATCAGGATTTGATCGGGTCAGTCCTGACGTTGGATCAGGTTGTGATGATGTGAATTGATGAAAGATGGCAGATCTAAATGGCTGACCGGAACCTGATCAAGCCTCATGGATACGGACCGAAGGACACGCGTCCAGTTTCACTACTAATAATCATTAACAAAAACATGATGATTAAATTTTCAAAACTCATTTTTACGATCATTTGTGATTTTATTGGCAACGCATGTATCTTAGAAAAAGTCGATTCTGTTACCGCAAATTATTCCACCTATGACTGGTTTCGAACCCGGGATCCTACGATGACTAAACCTATACCCTAGCTACTAGGACTACCACGCTATTGCGTTATGAATCTCGTATCGTCAATGTGAGATTTGTTTGGATGTATCATCTTCAAATATTATTCCTCCACTATTGCTGACAATCAGAACTTTCTAGATGGACTTCTGATAGTAGAGGTGAATTTTTCCAGTACTACCTTCCCGCCCGCCTCTCACTATCGTTTTCCTCCTCCGCAAATCCTTCCTGTTTATACAATTTTTTCTACCTGTATGACCTTTATGATTTATGATCTTTAAGACTTTTGAGTCTTCAAATAGCAGACTCTTATGAAGTCTGACGTTTACGACATTTTAACCTGGATACGTATGGCCTTCAAGACATTTGATTTTTGAGACGCTTGATCCTTTAAATGTCAGGCCCTTGTGACGTCCGACCCTTGACATAACTGACCCTCGAGACATTTGGCCCTTAAGACTTTGGACCTTTAAACATCCAATTCTTGTGTACATCAAGACGTCTGATTCTTGCTATTATCATGAATGTGTCTCCACTATGCCCCTGTCTAAACATAAAAAATTCGCAAGGAGTATTTCTCCCAATTTAACCAAATTTTCAAAATCACTCCATCCCTTTCACATAACAAATTAAAACCTAATCCTCAAAACTTTACTATCATAAATAGCTCATCCTCACGATAAACCGAGGCCCAAATACTCCTGCTCACCTCCACACTATTTTTGACCCTCAAGACGTCTGATCCTTGGAGCAGCTGACACTGTGCTCGGATTAAGATCAGAGTGATCAAATCGCAATCTGATATTTATATCAGGATGCCCTGCTCAAATCGACATCAGGGTAATAGAATTCGAATCTGATCAGATTCATCTCAGGTTATTGAATTGTACTGACTATACTATAGCCAATACCTTCGAGCTAATAATTAAACTTACTCGAAAAACTTACGACTTTTATTTTTTGGGATTGATTATATTTTTTAATAATATTGAAATGAAATATAATACCAAATTTTATGAAGTAACGATATGATTATTTATTTTTGTTTAATGTTTTGCCTTCGATTTAATACGTTTACAAATTGCTGATAACTATGATTGAATAAAACTCTTGAAATTTCAGGAAGTGTCTAAATGTCTCAACAGATTGAATTGCTTGCGATTTGAACTAGGTTGTTGCTTAGTTGAATGTTCGATTGGAAGTGAGGTGACAAGGAAAATTTCTTCCTCTTCCGGAAGGATAATTGGGTGTGTACCTTTAAGTTAAGGTTTCAAGTAGTGGGGGGTAAGCAGGTCTTGGATTGATGGAAAATGAGCTATGGGTGATGTGAGTGGTTGGTTTTCCAGCCCTTGACTGTGACTCTGAAAGTAGTGGGGATGTCCGCGTGGAGTAAGTTTGGGTTTCCTGTCTTGAAATGACGCTGGAGCTCAGGTATAAGGGTCTGTAGGCAGAGAACATTGCTAGTCATAAAAACAGGCGACGTCTACATGAAAAACGTTGATTTAAGTTCAGGTGAAGATAATTAAGTTGTATAAATGTAAAATCTACGTGAAGAACGTCGGTTCAAGTTATTGCTAATCATAAAAACTGGCGAAGTTTACATGAAAAACGTCGGCTTAAGTTATAAACTGAGCAAAGATTTTATTTTTCTGTAGAATGTTTATAACGGTCAACGGATTTATTTTTAATCATTCTCTCAAGTGAGAACTGCAGCTGTCTAAATTCTTGTAAATCGGGGAAATGGCCCATGGAAAATATTTAATTGTCAAGGTTGTAGAAATTTGAATATTTTGGTAAATTCAGGATTGAGAAACGACACATGAGACATTTGACACTTCCAAATTATAAAATTACATATTTCGGTACGAAACAGTTATTCTGCTCAAATTGAGATCAGGGTGGCCAAATCTGAATCTGATCAAAGTGATTTCAGGCTACCGGATATCAGAAACACTAGATTAGTTTTTCACCAGGTTTTGATCAGCTTTCACCTGATCAGTCGAACTTGACTATAGATGGATTTCCACTCGAGGCACCCAAGAAACTCTCAAAAACAAACACGACCGTAGTAAAGCTGCCACTCAAAATAAACACTTGTCATTTCGTACTCGACTCGAGTGTACCCTCAAAACAACTTTTTTTCTCCAATGCAATATTGCCCAAAAAACTTATTATCTCTACTATTTAGTCTGTAATGATTTCTTATTCTAAATATCTGGCGCCCCAACGCCTTTTTATTCCTTCATACCACTTCAATAGTTTCTTTCTTCAGACGACAATCATTCGTCTATATCCAGTGATACTGCAGTTTCCACGGACAGAATGACTAGAATGACCCTGATGAAATGAAATTTGGTGGAGGATTCCTAAAAATTAGAGATGGATCTCTAAAAATCAGTGATAATGTCACTGAACTTCAGAATTATGCAGTCACGTGAAATTCACAATCGCGAATCCCTAAAAGTTAGAGGTGAATACCTGAAGATCGCTGACATGTCCCTCAACATCGAAATATTTTTCCGTGGTCAGTTAACAGTTACATGTGAATTTTCAGTGTTG